ATATTTTGTCGTGTGCATACGTACGCTGGCCACATTATTCTACTACTTGTACTTTATTGTACTTTATGGTGATCGTAAAATTGTGCTATAATTTATCAATACCACCTCATTACCGCGAAAGAAAATGTTAAATTTAAATTCTTTGTCCTTTGTAATACTGTCGACATTCGCGGTAGCAACCGTGGCATTCAATTATCCCCGTGTGGACGCGGCTTTGTGTACCCGCATGCAAGCTTGTCCGAGTCCGAGTCCATCGAGATCTGCATAGAACGTGCGTTGTATAGCTAACGACCGCGTGCCCGAATGGTATTCTGTTATATACCACGTCCGATACGGCAAGCATTATATATTCTCAAAACGTTTACTCTTTACTACGTAGGTAGTTGTACTACGTATGTGTTGTGTGTGTTATCTGCAGCCAATGAATTTACGATTACGGAACAAGACCGGTCTTAGAGGAATAATATAGCGAGTGGAAAGATCGCTGAAGGTACCGATGGTTAATGGACCCCTATTCAGAATTCAGACCCATATTTACAATATTTTATCTACTTCGACGTATAATGTTTTCAATGTTTTGAATTATCAACAATAATATACGAAAAAAGGGAAAAAACATATTTTGTCCATTAAAAATCGATTGATTCCCTACACCACGGGCTGATAGGCCGAATTACGGAGATCGCGGTGTATTCGTATGCTATTAATGCTATTATTATTATAGTCATTATTACCATGTTCACACGAAAACCGCAGCCCGAAGTGTCACCGCTAACATTAGCTGATGCGTTCGGTATGTATTGTATTATCGCATCATATTATGTCCCTTAAGACTATACCGCGGTATAGCATGATTTATAATATACGGTAGGTACTCGTATACATCACTTATATGCACATTATTAAGCCCTAATCACCGACCCGTTAACAGCGATCTTTAGAGGAATACCTATAAGTTGATCGTAATAAAATTTATTTTCCGTTATTTTTCATTATATACTTACATATCTGATGTTTTTTTTATTACACTACAATTTAGTAACTTAGGCGTAACTTAAAAATTCATTAGGAAGGGGGGGAGGTAAAAATATAATTACATATCTAACGAAAAGGGTGTTCACGGCTAAACGCCGCTTTACTATCTAAATATTAAATATTATTATATAAAATTATTCATTTTCTAACATTATGTTAGATAAGCGAAAATTGAAAATTAAGACTTAAAAAAAAAATGTTAAAGGTAGTAATAGCTATAATCAGCTGTTTTGTACTTATTTTAAAACAAGGTATGTTAAATATCATAGGGGGCACTGCCCTTCCTAATTTATTCTAAGGAGGCAATTGCCCCTCTTTTCTTCCCCAGTTTACGCCTATGATAACATTTTTTTCATATATAGTTAAATTAGAACTTAGGATGTAACTCACTTGTTGGTGACCCTAGAGTCAAAAATATGTCGTTCTATAGTTAAAATTGATATACTCGTAAAATTAGGTTTGTCATTGGTCCAGGTTTGACCGGGACAATCCTGGTCTTAAGGCATGTTCCGGTGTCCCGGCCGATAATTCAGTTTGTCTCATATAATTGAAACTGAGAGAAAATAACATTTAATATTGTATTATTTAATAATAAAACATAGAACAATAATGTTCATTATATCATTATACCTATTATGGTTATCTAATCAGCATGGTTATATACAATAATAATGTTTTTTCGTGTTAGCTAATAAATTCTTAAATTACAATATCATATACTAATTTTTGTTTCCATATGAACGTTACATCAAAAAAAAAAAAAAAAAAGGTCGTTCGATATGATGTCCTAGTTTAGAGATTTCAAAATCTGGCAACCCTATTTAGTGCTTACGTGGTCTCAACAATAGAAGTCTTCCGTAGACTATAATAGGCGATATTAGTTTTAATAATGGAAAGATGATGTATTCGTAGATAATATCAATGCTATTGATATATATTTATCGACAGTGACGTAAACTGGGCGATGCAAATGTGTCATTTGGAATACCACATCTAAAATATGATGGTACAAAGATTTGTATTTGCACCACCAGAAAATTATTGAAATTTGTATACCCGTAGCATTATTTTTAAGAACCAAGGCAATCAGCATACTAAAAAAAAATTTTTGATAGTTTTTTTATTAATATTATTATAATAATAATAAAGGTTTTACTGCTAAAATAATTCAAAATTTTTTTGTTTTTTAATGAAATATATGAGAAAATATTTAGTTTATTCAGAAGGATTTTACTTAGGAAATTGGAAAATTGATATGTTGGAAATCATAAGTTGAGAATATGTCTCTGCACCACCAGGTGGATCCAATTTACGCCACTGCTTACCAATGTTCAAAACACAATAGAACAACGAAAAAGGACTAGATACCTCTATGGCTGCGGTAGACTTTTTTCCGCGTCCCGCAGAATGATTATGTTTCTCAGAGGAACGCGTTAGTGTTACACAGACTCAGAGATTGGTAACTTTAAGTTTTTACGGTTCTGGTTCCGGTTCTCAATTCATTCGGATTTGGATTCCGGATATTGAAAAATACAAATAAGGGTTCGGGTTCGGATTCCGATATTATAGGGTTCTAAATAAAATTTTTTTAAATTTATTCCGTAGTATTTGTTGATACATATTTAAAAATTACACATATATTACGGGTATTATACTAGATAAGCCCATAATATTAAAAATTAAGATTAAAAATAAAATTTTGAAAAAAATGATATCTCATATTTCTGCTTTGAAATTGTAAGAATAAAAACATAATTAATAATGTTTGTTACATCCGATATTTTTCATTTTATAATGAGAGTTTCGGTTCTTTGAATATGTAAAAATTCGATTCCGGTTCCCAATGTTTTAATTAAGGGTTCTTGGGTTCCAGAACCGGTTCTTTTGGGTTCGGTTCCAGCCCTTGTACACGCTACGTGATCATGTTCGTTGTTTTCGGTTTTATATTTAAATGTGTGCGTGAATGTTTACATGAAATAACTGCGGAATCGGTAAGCGTAAAATAATAATAAAAAATTATTCGGACGAGAGTTATGCCCGCAATGTATTAAATTTGTTTAAATTGTGTACAATTACTGAAAATTCCCTCGATACGTCGCCAACAAAATTATAATGTATCTCGTATGCGCGATATGAAGTAATGTATTGCAATTACATAAAATCGACACACAACCGTTGCCAAACCGCAATGTATTTTAACAGTGACTAACGTGCTGTCGTAGTACAGTTCGTACAGGTACACACATATTATTATTTTAATATGCCGCAGCAATGTTATCAAATAATAAAGAGCGAATGAATCAAGGAATTATCGTGTTTTTCTAAAACGCATTTCGTTATAGGTGCTACAGCCTACATATTTACGCATAAGTATGTGTTTGTGTGTGTATACGTATATATGTATTTATGCGTAAATGCTGAGCTATTTGGGTCGTTTAGAAGAAAATTAGTCGGTTACTATGCACGTCTGATTAGAAATTCGTTTCACGTGACACTCGCCACTACGTCGTTATATATATTTTTATTAACGTTGTTTTTATTTTACATATTATTCTTACTACAGAAAAAAAATAAATAAAAAAATAATAAAAATAATAAGAAAACGTGAAAGACTAGGTGTGATTGTTATACAGATAATAGCATTTCAAAATCGCAGTAATAAATAACTGTATTCGCAAATGTAGTTTTCTCGACTCAAAACTAATAACACAGCTAAGTTACCCTGTTTTTTAACTTCACTTTGAGTAATTATAATGCTTATTTTTAGATTTATAAACATAAGTTTATAATACCTTATATTCCTATTGAGTATATCCGTTCAATAGTTAATTACCAGTGAGTAGTTACAATTGTTGATATATTTATTAAATTATATTCATTCTAACCAGAATTAAAAATGATAATTTAATATTGATTCTAATTAGCCAATATAAAGTATAATCAAAATATTTAATAGAAGCTATTAAATACCTTTTTGAAGTACATCAAATTACACTTAATTGTTTAAAATAACCGGAAATTTGTCACATTCACAGAGCAGGTTTTTCTAACTAGTCAAACATTTAAAATATATTACTTATATATTTCTTAGTATAAATTAACTGCAAATATAATATTAATTTATTTTAGTGTAGTTTAGAACAACTGACCTTAGATGCATCTTTCTCCCTCAATGCTTAATTTATTGACATTACTGAACACATTTTAATAGAATCGGAATAATAAAATATTGTTAATCTAAAACATAATATTAAAAAAAATTAAATTTGAATAAAATGATTAAAAAGATAAAAATAGAATAAGAAAATTTTAAAAATTTTGAATATTTTAATTATAATGAGATGACACATAATTAAAGCAGCGTAAAAATAAAGGATCAGAACTAAAACAATAATAATAATAATAAATTGGTTCTTTTATTTTGTGATTTTCTGTATAAATAATGAATTGTACAGAATTCTATATTGAACACTATACATTCAAAATTATTAAACAAAATACTCGGTACTACATAGCACAATATTATAAAATATTGGGGAAAAAATGTATTAATTTAAATAAACATAAATAATTATTAAATAACAATAAAATTTTAATTTTTTTTTTCAATGGATTCTCTATCTATTTAGGTACAAAAGACATCTAGAGACAACCATTACATACTGATTCACCTATAAGATCCTAATGAAAAAAAAAAATTAACAAAAACTTATAGGGTAATTTTCTAATACTATTTTGTACAAAATAGAAAAGAACAAAGTTAACACTTAAGAAAATAATAAAGTAAATACAGTTCTTAAAATGTAATAATAATTAATAATAATAATAATAATAATCATAATCATAATAATAATAATAATAATAATAATAATAATAATAATAATAATAAT